AACACAAAGACCAGCGTTCAGTCCTCAGAACCCACAGAACCCAAGCTGGGCATGTGGCACATCCCTCTGGGGAGGTGGAGACAGGGGCATCTTTTGGGCTCATTAGCTAGCCAAACTAGCCTACTTGGTGAGTTTGGGGCCAGTGAGAAACCTGGTTTGAAAAAAAATTAAAAAGAGGAATGTGTCTGAACAAGATCACCCGAGGTTGTTTTCTGACCTACACACACATACACTCACACACACACACTCACACACAGAGACTCACACACACTCACACTCAGAGACTCCCACACTCACACACACACATATACTCACACACATATACTCACACACACACACACACACACACACACACACACACACACACACCTAACATGAACACTCCTCCTGTTTTACATATGGGAAAGCCGGTGCAGATAGGGTAAGGAACATTCCTGGAGTCGGTCCCACAGCTCTTCTTCAGATTCTGAGCCTAGTGCCCCTCCCAGCCTCACTGTGGGCCGGTGGGGGGCAGTGAAGGGTGGTGAACACTTGTGTGTATTGCTTCTCAGAGATCAGCAGCTCACTGGGGAGGCTCTCCCTCCCCACCCCCATTCCTGTGCCAGCCCTTCTCCCAGTAGCTTTTGCTTGGGGATAGTGGTCTGATATATGAGCACATCTCCTGGGAATTCACAGCAACAGCCAAGAAATTAATTTTGTAAAGGTCACTAAGCACCTTTGCTAAATGACAATAACTTGTCCTTGAACCTCAGTGGTGGGCACACCAGGAACAGAGCCAGCATCTGTACAGGAGAATTTTGCAAGTAGATAGGGACTCTGGTCTCATCTACTTTGCGTCCTGAGCTGGAGGACTATGTGAGCTATCTTGAGCAATCATAATTTGGAGGACAGAAGAGTATGGAAGACTTGGGTAAGAACGAGGGGTGCGGGGGCTTCTGGAGAGAGGTACTCAGCCTCAGGAATAGTCACTGACCCACTGGCTTCCTAAAGCCAAGGCAAGTCCCAGACACAGACACAGAGGGTGGAGTGCTGGCTAGACAAATGTCACAGAGAGGCCAGTTTGAGACAAGGCTCACAGAACAAAGCCCATCTGTAGGATGCCTTTTGACCTGGCCCCAGCTCCCCAGAAGGAGCTGCCGTTACCCTCCTTCACTGGGAAGATGTCACAAACAGAAGTCCTCACTGAAGGAAAAGATCCATACGTTGAAGAAAGAAGAAAAGGCATGGTGTCCCCAGTCCTAGAACAGGGTAGGGTGAGGTAGGGGATCGATGTCCTGGTATGAGTGGTACCTTGTGTGACAGGAACAGCCATAAAAAGGGGCAAGGAGACCTTACCCTACACTTCAGGTCTAGGCTTCAAAGAAACCAAGGAAACTCGTAGCTTCAGTGTGGGTGACACATGTAGGACAGAGCTCTTTTCTGTCTTGAAGTGACCCAGAAGGATCAACTCCTGGCCCTTCCTGGACACAGCTCTCGGTCCTGATTCCGCTGACCTCCTGCTCAGCAGTGCAGTGCCAAGACCCCAGCATCCGATTCCTCTCGCTTACAGAGCAGCCCCAGAGAACCCACAGTCTTTAGCAGAGAAGGATGATGGGAAACCCACCAGGGGATTCTCATGACTGCATCCAACATCAGGGCCAAAAGTTGAGAGGGAGAAATCAGAATATTCAAAATATCAAGCATCAAGCTCACATGGTGTGATTATTTCTCGTTATTTTTAGCATCTCAATTTTTTGTCAGCTTCGTACTCGTATCAAGTGTGTTGTCATTGCTGCCATTACCTTTGCGCTTCTCCCTCCCCCTCCCTTCTTCCTTCTACCCAGACTCCTACATTCATGTCTCTCTTAGTGTGTCCAGGTCCCACATAGGCAGTCACAGCGTGCATGCTCATGGTAGCAACAGCCATGTCATGTGATCATCTCAAACCCTCCAAATCCCAGAAGCATAAGAGAAAAGGAGTTTTCAAGGAGGGCTCACTGTGTCCCAATGCCCTCAGAGCTGAGGATGAGGGCATGCAGCTGCTGAAGCTGTAGGTGGAAATCTCAGTAACCCATCTACAGGCAGGCCAAAGTGTGTGTCACCGTCATCCTCATGGCATTTGGGCCACCCAAGCACCCTCTCTATCTATCCTACACTGGTCACCAACACACACACACACACACACACACACACATGCACATGCACACATGCACGCTGTTTAGTTTTTTGTTAATTTGACACAGGACACTGGGACAAGGGAATGATCAGCTGAGGAACTGCCTCCATCACATAGCCTGAAGGCAAGTCTGTGGAGGTGTCTTCCTGATTAGTGACTGATGTGGGAGGCTCAGCCCGCTATGGGAGGTGCCACTCCTGGGCAGGTGGTCCTGGATGGTGTAAGAAAGCTAGATGAGCAAGTAAGCAGCATTCCCCCCCCCCCGGTTCTGCTTCAGTTCCTGCCTCCAGGCTCCTGGCCTGACTTCCCGCTACGACAGACTATGATCAGACTTGTAAGTCAGATTACCCTTTCCTCCCTAAGCTGCCTGTGGTCATGGTCTCTGTCACAGCAACAGAAAGCAAGCTAGAGCAGAGGTGACACAGGACCCTGGCCAGAGCAAGGTCACAGGCAAGAGGGAGAGTGGTTACCTCAGGAAACTAACCCCAGGGGAGGAAGGACCTGTTCTAGAGCTGGAGCACAGCTCCCCGTGGACTGCACACTCTGGACTTGGTCCCTGCATTGCTAGGATCCCTTCCCTGGGGAGATAGCCAACCAAAGCAGGGCCCCCAAGCTCTCCCTGGGGAACAATACAGTTACTGGTACTGCAGAGTGAGGGTGAGAGGGTGCCAACAGGAGTGTGGACGGACAAAGACACCAGCGTGGAAGGTGGCTTCCTCGTGACCGTGTAGTGGAGTCCCCTTCTGATAAGTCCCCTACGCGTACTCTAGCGCACCCTGACACCAAACCCTGAGAAATGTGGTTAGGGCAGAATGACACTCAAATGGCAAGAGGAGGAGCGGGGCTCTCAGGTGAGGGTCCTCTGCGCCTCCCCACACCGTGAGAGTGCTGACGGCGAACAAGCATGACCCTGATGGGCTCTTGCAAGTGAGCACAGCTGATATGATGAAGACAGTGGCTTCTTTGCTCACAGGATAGTGTTCTACAGCACTCGGTACTGTAAAGTTCATGTGGGAGCACATGTGTATGTGTGTACACATATAAAGATCATGTGGGAGCACTTAAGTGTGTATGTGTACATATGTGCACACACATATAGCACTTGGTACCATATATGTGTATGTGTATATGAACATACACATAACTAGACTTGGTGACATACCCTTGTAATTGCAGCACTCAGGAGGCTGAGACAGGAAAATCTTAAGTCCAGAGTCAGCCTGGGCTACATAGTGAGACAATATCAAGAAGGAAGAAGGTGGACATGGTGACACACAGCTTTCATCCCAGCCCTAAGGAGGCAGAGGCAGGAGGATCTCTGAGTTTGAGGTCAACATGGTCTACATAGCGAGTTCCAGGTCAGCCGGGGCCATACAGTGAGACCTATCTCCAAAGTGGAGGTGAGAAGAAGAGGAGGAAACACACACACACACACACACACACTCGCTCGCGTGCGCACCCTATTATAAATGTACACACTCTTTCTGTAAAAGTAACTCCGTTAATAAACAGCTGTTGGCATTTACATCTTTTAAAATATTTTTCCTTTTTTGCTTTTTGTTTTTGTTTTTTTTTTTTGTTTTTTTTAAAGATTTTATTTATTTATTATGAATACAACATCCTGCCTCTACATATGTCTGCACGCCAGGAGAGGGCACCAGATCTCATTACAGATGGTTGTGAGCCACCATGTGGTTGCTGGAAATTGAACTCAGGACCTCTGGAAGAGCAGTCAGTACTCTTAACCTCTGAGCCATCTCTCCAGCCCTTTTTGTTTTTTTTTTTGAGACAGGGTTTTTCTATGTGTATCCCTGGCTATCCTGGAACTTGTTCTGTAGACCAGACTGGCCTTGAACTCACAGAGATCCGCCTGCCTTTGCCTCCAGGAGTGCTGGGATTAAAGGTGTGTGTCACCACTGCCTGTTTTAAGCTTTTAAATTACACATACACAGGTGTGCGTGCGTGCGTGCGTGCATTCATGCATATGTGTGTGTGTGTGCACGTGTGTGCATGTGTGCGCATGCGCACACACGGGCATTTGTTTCTGTGACTGAGTATGTGCACATAAGGGCAGGCGCCCACAAAGGCCAGAAAGCGGTATGGGATCCCCTAGAGCTGATATAACAGATGGCTGTGAACACTGTGTATGGGCGCTGGGAACTCACCTGAGGTCCTCTGCAAGAGCAGTAAGCACTCTTAACCACTGAGCTGTGACTCCAGTCCCCCCCACCCCGCACAACTTTTGTTTTTGTTTTGCTTTTGGTTTGACTTGGTTTTATCTTCAATAAGAAGGTACTAGCCCTCACTTCTCTTCAGTGCAGAACTTGGATTTTCTCTTCCTCCTCTTCTGAGCTCTACTATCCTTCTCTGGCATCCTGAATAGTTTTGTGAAAAACTGGAGAAAAGTCCCCTCCTTTGGGCAGTCGCAGATGGGATAAGCCTTAGTGAGTGAGTGGCACTTTAGTGCCAAGCAGAGGAACACATTTCTTCCTTGGACACAGCCTTGTACAGGGACATAGCTTGGCAAACCGAACATGGGCTAGATTTTAACTAGTCACTTGGACAGGCGCACAGGAACAGTACCACATTGCCTTGGCTCTCGATATTTTATTATCCTCATAAGATGAAAAAAAAACGGTGCTAAATGGAGGCTGGAGAGATGGCTCAGCAGTTAAGGGCACTGGTTGTTTTACTGGAGGATTCAGGACAGTGTCTCTTTCAGGACTCATGTATGCAGAGTAGCTGGACCCAAACATGTCACTGGTGACTTAACAACTCCTCCCCCACCCCAGACAGAGTCTAAGGGTGATGTCACACAGTGGATGGCTGCACATTGGCTAGCCAAACAACTTCCCACCTCCCAGCACAGTCACCCTCATGGGAGATGATGAGGCTAGCATCAGGATAGACTGCAGGAAGGGGACAGTCTTCAGGAGGTGCTTGGTTCTGACTTCCCTGGGTTGAATATTGTCCTCCACATTCATGAACCTGAAAATACGACTTTATTTGGAATGAGGTTAGCGAATGATGTGATCAAACTAAGGGGAGATTGTCATACTAACTTAGAACAGGATGACTAGTATCCTAAGAAGGTGTCCTTATATGAAGGAGACACACTAGGTACAGGGTCATGTGGTCACAGAGTCACACATAGCCTACAGCAGGGCGTCTCACGGCCAAGGACACAGAGGACTACCGGCAACAGCAGAAGACAGGAGAGGCTGACCTACACTCCACCTTCGGACCCAGGGCATGAATTCTTGGTGTTTAAGTTCCATAGCCTGTAGCACTGCTATAGCAAATAGCAAATAAATCAGAAGGATGTAAAAAAAAAAGTGTCTGGAAATCCTGGCTTGGGGAACAGACACAGAAAGGAAGCATTAGGTTGTCTTTAAAGGTGACAGAGTTCTGGGGGGGGGGCTGAGAAGACAGGCAGGACCAGGACTGTAGGCTTCTCTTCAAGGTTTAAAGGTGACAGAATTCTGGGGGGGGGGGCTGAGAAGACAGGCAGGACCAGGACTGTAGGCTTCTCTTCCAGATCTCTGCTTGCTGATTGCGTAGCTTCCTTTGGTCTCCCTCCCCATGCTCTTTGGATTCTGCAGTTCAGTGCTGTGTTTGGGTAACCCCGTGCTTTGTACACACCTGGGATGGGGTGGGGGTGACACTGCTCTCTGCAGTTTAACAGCCCCTTTGTGCCAGGTCCAGGAGACTGAGCGCCTCAGCTTTGCCCGCCCGACTCTACGGCTGGGGGCCCAGGCAGCTGTGGGAGGTGGGGAGGCGCTGCTCCCAGCCAGGGAAGCCAGGTTTCTGCCTGAGGCGGATGGAATTCTAACACACCCTGGAGCAGAGAGACAGAAATTGCCTTTTAGACGGCTGCCATCAGCAATATTCAGCAGGCAGGTTCTGCAGGGCAGTTTAACCTTCGGTGACCTCACAGCTCAGCTGCGCAGAGCGCCAGCACACTGTTCTCACACACTCTGGCTCATAGGCAGCTGTTCAGATACATTCGTGTCTACCCATGGTTGTATTTCAAAGGGAGCATTACAGGTGATTTTTTTCTGTTTCGTGTGACTGGGAGTTCACACACACACACACACACACACACACACACACAGACCTTCACACTCGCTGTCACTGGGAGGTTAAACCTGAGAGTTTCCTGCTAATCAGGCCACACCAAATATACAGTTGGAGCTCAGCAAATAATTAATAGTAATGAAAATTGACGTTGTAAAAATTAAAGTGAGAGGGCTGAGAGAAGGAGCTGGTCTGGTTGTCAAACCACAGGCCTAAAGGGAAACGAATGGCTTAGGAGGATCTTTTAATTAATTTCAGAGTTTCCCTGTTTCTCTACCACCAAACGAGCTGAGCTGTCAGGACCCTCTGCAGAAAGACTACGGAGAGGTGATCCCATTTAAGGACCAGGCCTGTCCAGGGCCTCCAGATTCCCTGCCCGTGAACAGGGAGGCTTCAAGCGGGGTAACACAGTCCAAAGAGGGGTTCATTTTGTAAATGTATTTTTATTACTGATGAATAAAACCAAGAGGTCCACCTTATTCATAGCTAAAATAAAAATGGGTCTCTACTGCCTGACCAAGTTCAGCCACTGCACTGCAGCATTAACTTGTATTCTAACAAGATTAAAATATATTTGTCCTGGGGATTAGCATACTTAAGTCTCCTTTTGCCTTTTTAGTGGTGGCAAGGCACTTTGATCTGCCTTGCGTGGCGAGAGCGGCTTGGGCCCGGCTATCCGACTGCCAAGTGTGAAATCAGCCTGATGTCATCCCCATTCTCCATCTTTTACATCTTTCACCAGTTTAATTATATTTCCGCCACAAAGCTTCAGCACCTCATTGCATATTCAAGTTTGACCAGGAAGCATTTCTTTAAAAAGTACGAATGAAAATATCCCTGTTGGGGGAAGGGAGGGTTTTGGGACAGGGTGGGGAGCTGCACATCTCCATGGAGTGAAAGCCATGAATGGTTCTAGCTTTGGTCGCATAGCTGTTCTTACCTGTGTGGAAAGTGTCTGTGACTTCCACCAGCCCCAGGAGGTGGGTACCAGGTCCATTCTGGAACCATAGGGCCTTGGGTACAAAGTGCAAACGTTGCTTGGGCCTATGACTCCTGTATGTTAGCTTCGCTTTTTTCCACTTCAATCTATGTTCCTTGCCACCTCAGCATAAGAGGAGTCTGCCCCCACACACATGTTGAGTGAGCTTCCAACCAGCTACCTTAACCCACATTAGGAAGTGCAATCGGCTAAGGAAAATTCCTTGAGTCTAATTTGGTCTTTGATCACCTTAAAAGAAAAAAATCAGAACATTACAACTAAGCCAGGCTCTCTCTGTCTCTGTCTCTGTCTCTCTCTCTCTCTCTGTCTCTCTCTGTCTCTCTCCATCTCCCTGGGAAGCTGCCCAGAACAGAAACAAAATGGGCAGCTCAGCATAGGAACAGGGTATTTATTGCTGGGCTTTCCTCATGCAAACCTTCAGCTAACACATACCTCCCAGGGAGTGTTTTCTAGTTTCTCTTACTCACAAGTGAGCACACTGGCCATGTGGCAATCTATCACATATCCCCCAGGACTGCTTGGAAAGGCTATTCAGTCATCAGAGGGGGCCCCAAGTCACCCCAGTGTGACACCTGATATAGTCACCTTCCTCCAATGCCACCAGAAACCTCTGCCAGTATGGCTGGAGGGGTAACACTGGGTGGGAAGGAGGATAGAGGAATAGCTCGGGTAGAGTGCCTATCATGTCTGGCCTTAGAGTTTGTGGCAGCTACTCTCTGCAAGAAATGGAAATGGACCACTTATTGGGTGCCTGGGCATTGACCTCCAGACCATGTTCATAGTCTACTGCCATCCCATTGGAATGCCTCAAAGGCCTGACCTCCCCTACCACTCCGCAGCCCTTTGGGCATCACTCACACACCCAAGCTGCTGAGAACAGACACGAGGGTAGAGTTAGCACTGGGAGCAGGCAAGGGCAGCTCCGGGCTTTACTCTGCTCAGACAAGCCTCTTCTGTGGTTTCCACTTTCTCTCACTGTTAGCCAAGGCTCAGCCAGCCCAAGAGGTCTTTTGACAGGTGCAGGCTTACGGTTGTTTTCTTTTGAATAGTCGCTCCTGTTAAAATTGGAAGTTAACAACACATTGCTTCTTAAACGGAATGATATAATTATAAAATTATCTCCACATAATTAACTCAGGATTATGCTTCATTCTAGTTAGCATGTAATCAAAGTCTGTTATGCTTTTAGCTATAGGAACATCAATTAACTGAAAAGGGTTAGTTAGAGCTTTCGCTATTGAATAGCTCATCATGCCATAAGGACGCCCGTTTACTCTTGTGGGAAGAGCCACATAGCGAAATGGCTTGATGCAAAGGGAGTGCACAGACTGCCACCCACAAACAAGGCTTGGAGGTGACCTTCAGTCACGCAGCTTGGTTTGGGGCCTACCTGCAGATAGGCGAGTCCCCTTTCTGTGCTTGGGACGAGTTTGGCCTCATTAGTGACCTCACCCCAAGCAACCTCTACTCAAGGCAGAAATATCATGTGGATCAAAAAACAAGGTGCATGAAAAATTATACACCTGCTGTGGAAACCCAGGGCAGAATGCCCTACCCATGCGAAGTCAAAACCCAATGTGTGCGTGTTGGGGATGCATATGCGGAAATGGAGGTAGGGTGTGCTAAGGAGCTGGTGATTCCTAGTCTACTAGGAAAAACCCTTGGTTCATTCGCCAACACAAAACAACAAAACGGAACCCTAGAGTAGGAGCTGCAGTGTGGCTCAGGAGGTAAGATGACCCAGAGCGTTCAGGAAGCCCTGGGTTCCATCCATCCCCAGCACCAAATGACCTGTGTGTGATGAGTGGGTCTGGATTCTAGCATTGGGAAGTAGAGGCAGAGGATCAGATTTCAAGGTCATCATCAACTATTAGGGAGCATGAGAACATCCCAAGATACCTGGGACCCTGACTCAAAAATAAATAAATCATACCCTGGAATGAAGATAAGCGTGGGGAAGCAGCATTTCTGGAAAGTGCTAGAAAGTCCTATCATATCCCCTTACTTCCGGCCATTGTCTCACTTTCTATAATCAGGTAGATTTTCTTTCCCTTTTTCCCCCCTCTCTTTTTCTTCCTCCTCCCTTTCTGTCCCCTTCCCCTCTCCTCTCCCTCTCCCTGTAGGAGAGAGTTTTATGGAACAGATCAGACTGGCATCAAACATGCCTCTCCTAGCTATTATATCTTCTCTCCTCTCTTACCTTTGCTTAGGCAACCACACAGATGCCGTGCTGGTCAGCAGAAGCAAGCAAAATGTGGGTGCCTGGAGGACGGAGGCACCTGCGCTGGGAGGATGCACCTGCGCTGGGAGGATGCACCTGCGCTGGGAGGATGCACCTGCGCTGGGAGGATGCACTTGCGCTGGGAGGATGCAGCAGCTGCGAGCAAACCTAGGGAGGAGGGTTAGCTGGTGAGCCTCCCGCGTGCTGAGCCTATTCAGGACCAAGCCTTTGTGCTCATTAGCTCACAAAAAGCCCTTGCAGGAAACTCATTAGGTAGATGTTCTTTCTGTTTGGAAAAGAATGACTCCACTCCAGGGGAGTCTATAACACACCAGCTCAGAAAGTAAATGGCAGAGCTAGGATTTGAACACAGGGCTATCTGCTGTCAAAACTTGGGGCTAGGGGTGTAGCTCAGTGACAGTGCACATGTATAGCACACACCACACACACACATACCGAGAGAGAGAGAGAGAGAGAGAGAGAGAGAGAGAGAGAGAGAGAGAGAGAGAGAGAGAGAGATTTTCTTGGTCCCTGACTTCAAAACAGCAGCAACAAAGTCACAATAACTCAAACAAAACTTTGTTGCTTTCCGTAGAGCCACCATGGTTCTTAAAACACTAGGGATTTGATAGAAATATTCGCATGGAAAGCATAAAACCAAGTGGTCCCCAGGCCACTTGTGAGAGACTGTAAGCCTCTGGTAACACGGCTCTGCCTAATGTTTTCTCTGTAGGCTCCACTCTTTCCCTTTGCGAACAGATGCCAGCATGTTAAGCATCTCCATCTTTTCACTTGGGTGACGGGAGGGTCCCAGTTCTCACCTGGAGGTTTTAGCCCTGGAAGCCACCAGGAGACTGTGGAAATGAATGCCTTACCCTTGGGCTTTCCAGATACTCAGACCGCAGTGGAACAGACTGAAAGTAAGGAGAGGGTGAGCTAGAGGGAAGGGCCTGTCCTCCTTTGCCTTTTTTTTTTTTTTTTTTTTTTTGACGAGTTCTGGAGATGGGCAGTGGTGAGGATTTCACAGCATTGTGGGTATTTACGAGTGTGTTTAATATCACCACAGAAGTATACACGGAAAACTGATTAAGATGGTGAATGTTGCCATTTTACTGCAACAAAGTTACGGGGGAACCCTTAGTATTAGCAGGGTGGCTGGCAGGAGAATTTTACAAAGTGCGGGTAATTGTGCCCTTTTTCTTAACGCCTAAATATAATGGAACTCCAGCTTCCTTAATTCGATGTATTGTTGCTGCGAGTGAAGAGTAAAGCTCCGCAAACCATGAGAAGTTTTGGATTAGAGGAGAAGACCAGAAGCAAAACCCTGGGCACCGAGGGATGTCCTAGAGACCCGCGGGGAAGCGGGCTGTCGCAACAGGAGGGGCAGACGCTCCTTGTGCTGCAGCTGGGGCCTGTGACTATCCATCCAAGGAGGAGAAAAAAGAAAAAAGGAAGTTAGTGGAGGGGGTAGAGGTTGGGGAAAGGAGGAGGGCAAGCCGCGATGACAGAGCCTGACAGCCCCCATCCAAACAAAGGACTTGGCGGGAGACGAGAACCCCGATGCGCCAGCTGAAAGAAGCGAAGCCGGCCCCTTCCGCAGGCAGCGCGCTGCTGTGACCATGCGGCCAAGTTTCACGTCTGGACGGACGAGTCCAACAGCAAGCGGCAGCCAGACCTGGCTTTTTCCCCCTAGACCGTCCTGCAGTGACCAAACAAGGTCACCATTCCTAGCCCCCACCGAGGACCGGAGGCTGGGTGAGACCTGGCCCTTCCCGCCTAAGCTGCCCCTCTAACCACATCTCTAAAGTGAGGCAGGGCACCACAGCCACGCAGGCCACAGGGCCTGCGGCTCCTCAGTCCACTGTGCCTTGGGGGTGGGGACAAGGGGAAAGGGCTCTCTGGGACGCCTTCCAGGACGAGGGGTAAAAAGGCAGCCGGGAGGCAGATCTCTCTCCACCATTCTTTGTTTCGGCTCCAGGCGCTGCGCTGGACTCAACCCTGGAGGGGGCGGGACCCGAAGTTCTCCTTTCCCAGAAAGCCTCCCCGGTGTTCCTCGGGGAACACAGAAGAAATATTGCCCTGCTCCAGGAGTAACTTAGGCCTTGCTTGGGACTAGGCCTGAACCTTACCCCATATTCACAACTAGGCAATCTTTTCAGGGGAACCCTTCCCCTAGGGGGGGTGCCCCTCAATCCATCGAGGGACGGGGCCTCAGCTGAAGTCTTACTGACTGGACGAGGCCATACCACCAACAACAACAGTAACCCCTTCCTCGGTTTTCTTGCAGGCAAGAGCAAAGCGCAGGCCCACCACGCTTGATTAAATCATATAATTAGGAACGACTTTAATGAATATTATTACATTTCCGGCGATTTCAAGAATGCCCTTTTCTTTTCCATGGGCAGGCAGCATAAGCATAATGAGGTATTTGAGGTTATTAATAAAAACAGGCATGGTCTACTCAGCGTTCCAGCCCTGCAACTGTGAGGCATTAGGGCTTTGCTTGCAAATGCACCCTAGAGTCCTAGGAACCCAATGGTGCACCCCTCTGTGGCTCCCTGCCTCCCCTACTTCTAGGCCTAGATATAGCTAGCCCTCCGCAGGGATGGAACCAAGGCGCAAAGAAGAGGTGTTCCCAGTCCCGAGGCCCTGCGTGGGGAGCTGGCGGGGGGGGTAAGATCAGTCTTGGGAGGGCGATTTCTGCCTCGCTGGCGCGATCCATGCCTTCAGGGGTGGTGCCATGGCCCTGTGTCTGCATCAGTCCTTATTAACCTCTCAGTGGGAGGCGGCTCCCCCTGGCAGGCTGTGGCTTTCGATGGAGCCGGGACTCTCCTGGGCACTCTAGGGATAGGGCCCAGGCAAAAGGAGACTGTAGAGGTCGGATATTAAACCAGCAGGGGACAGAATGGTTTCTCAGCAGAAGCCTGCCAAAAGCTCTGCCTTCCAGCCTGTGCTCGGGGCAGAGAGGAATGTTTGCATATGTAGGGTCTGGGCATTTGTTATGGGCACCAGTTATACCAGTATCAAGCAGCCAGAGTCCTGTCCACTCAAGGAAAAAACAAAAACAAAAAACCATGGAACTGGAAGTCTTTGTGAGATCAAGCTGGGGGACACCTGGGAGTCTCCTTCCTCCCCCTTCTTAAAAGGCATCTGAAGCCAGGTGCACCTTTGTGCAGAGATGACCCCTAATTTCTGACTATAGTGTAGACCTCCAGAACCACATCAGAAAGAGCACCTGATAGGAGAGTGTCAGGCTGGGCTTTTCCCATCAGCACCTTGGGGGGGGGGGTGCTGATGTGGCCTGCAGGTCACAGCTCTCTCTGGGTTGGATTGTCCCCTCTCCCTTCATGTCAGTGGGTTGTAGAGAAATGTAAGAGACATACCAAGATCCAGGGCAGCAGAGTGAGTGAGATCCAAAAAGCAAGGATTTCTTCACAAACGAACTTTCCTGCCCTACTTGAGATTCCTGCCTCCTGCAGGGTGACCTAGGCAAGGTCCAGTGGCTGGGCTCCTTGATGCTCTGGTGACTTCATTCAGAGTCCATCTCCAAAGCACACAGCACTGCAGAGGCAGGGTCAGAACCTGGGGATCTGCAACACCTACAAAGTTGCCCTGGACTCCCAGGGAACTGTGTTGTTTTGTTGTTGTTTTGTGCTTGCCCAGGTGAGAGAGCAAGGCTGGCAGGGTAAAGGTTCTGTATGAGTCACAACTCTGGTAGCTTGCATTTGAAGGAGGAAGAAAGAAAGAAAGAAAGAAAGAAAGAAAGAAAGAAAGAAAGAAAGAAAGAAAGAAAGAAAGACAGACAGACAGACTCACAAGAGCAAGTAATAACCCAAGAATTTGAAGGTCCTTCCAGTTCAGTCTCAGATCACAGATAAAGTTTAAAAATTCAAAAATCTGGCATTATTGGCCCGCTGGTGTCTGCTTAGCTGCCTGTGGGACTTGGGAGCTCATTACCCCACAAAGCTGTACACCCTCCGCCTACCAATGTTATCATTTGAAAATAGATGGATGTTGCTGTTTTATTAAAATGGAGGGAGGCCAACAGATTAATGTACTTGTGCCAGTGTTTTAACGCTAAACCCTTGGAGGTATGTAGAAAATGGGGACCCTGACGTGCACCTGGGGAGTGGCATGGGGGGTTTCTGGTGTCCCTCCACAGTAGGCACAACCTTGTTCCTCGAGGGTCCCCTGAGTGGCAGGAGCTGTAGGCCAGCATCTGCCTGGGAATCCCTGATGGCCCAGTGGCCATCTACGTACTGAAACTGCCTAGAAGGTCACCCTTGGCAACAAGCAATCCTTGACACTGGGTTTCTCTTCCTGGGAATAAAAAAAAAAAAAAACTTTCTTTCAAGCAGAGGAGGTTTGAGAATACAGCAGTTTAGCTTCATGAACTTTAGAACACCCTGCCTTAGAGCCAGCCATTTCAGAGCCGTGCCCTCCCCAGAATCCAGCAGGAGATGTCCTTTGCTTTTCGGGAGTGGAGGTGAGGGAAACAAAGTAGCATTTAGGGAAAGGCCATCTCTGGAGAAACACTAGTTCCTCCACCCAGCCGCTTGCATACAGCGGAGAGGGGTGGGGGAGACCTCTTAGATTCTCATACGGAGAAACTCCAGTTGACTCATTCTTCCTGGAGACTAAATGCGGACAGAAACTGTTTCTCTGTTCTGGGCTTCCAAGTTAGGCATTCCAATGTCTGTATTTAAAAGAAACTATCTCCTCTTGTTCCAAGGGTAGGTGCAGCACCTGAGCTTTGACACAGACAGGGAAAAAGTTCACCTTCCACCACCAGCATTTTTATAATAAAGAGTCGTTTCTTTTTATTTAATGTGACTTTTCAAGAATTTAAACACACGAAAATGCACGGGTGGGAATGTTCACAATTTTGATAACCACAGTTGTAAGTAGGGAACATTCATCCATTTCTCATAAGATTATAAATATTTGATAATGTAAAATGCACATTTTATAAACTTAAAAAAGGACAGATTTGCTTCCTGCTAAAAGGCCTGTCGTTTCACCGATTCCCAAGCAGCAGGTGGCTGCTCACAGACTTTTAAATTACAACTTTTGTTTTTATAGCTTCCTTTTCAGAAGGTTGGCACTCATATATACAAAGTGAAAGTATTGGCGCAGTGAAATGAAGAGGTTTAAGGCAAGAGAGAGATCCTCCGTCAGTCCTCACAGGCAGCTTGACAGCCAGCTCAGCTGAGAACACCCCTGGGCCACTGTACTGGCCTCAGGTGGACATTTGGACACCTTTTCCCATACACTAAACAGAAGACAGTGTGGAGTTATATATAATGAGTTTGTTTATATATATATATATGTACTTGGTGAGGG